CTGTGGCTGTTTGGAGGGAAGCTCTAGACATTTTTGGTAGATTAGACAGCTACTCTAAACAGTTACTCTAATCAAAGCTATACAATTTTCAGTTTGTTGGTACTAAATCAACTCTTAAGGCTTTGATTTTATTCTCCACCAAAAGACAAACTTAAGTAGATCAGTGGATACAGCCTATTGTTGGATGAAGTTATATCTATTTTTTCCCCAAGCCAGTACCAGTTCTAGGAACCTTTCTCAGTTTTTTTTCTAATGCTCACTCTGTGATACGCCTCTCTCCCCAAACTTCTTATCAGTTAAATAGCACCAAGTGCTGTAGAAACTAGTAGGTACTGAGGGGGAGAGGAAATGCAACAGAGGAACAGTACTGATGCAGTATCCAGTGTTCTTGGAGTTCTCCCTATGTGATAGATGTAAATTTCAACCATGGGTAAAACAGTCCTTGGGTTTCACTTCTCAGAAAAATTGAGTGCATTGCAAGCCTTAAATTCCCAAAAAAAGGGGGGGAAGATGTGAAAAAAATGAGTGCATTGAAAGTGGGGCAGAGTTGAGTGTGCTGGTTTGTAGAGAGGTTCCACAGAATAAGGGGAAGATCGACAATAGTTGAAGAAGCTAAGTGAATTTAAGAACATTAGGAGGTTAGTGAGCTGAAGATGAAAGCCCAGACATAACACCCAAGTGACGAGGCCAAAAAAAACACACGCAAGAAAAAATATCAAAAATTTAGTACAATGCAAAGGTTGTGTTCCAAATAGTCTTGGTGCGCTAAAGGGTTTGTGGGTGATAAATAAGAGGTGAAAAGAAAACCAGGGTTGAACGTGTTAGGAAATGAAAGAGCCAGGTACATTAAGCATATTACAGGGCTGCAAAGGCAGTGCAGTCTTTTATTCACATGGTAGATAAGGTTCCTTTAAGTTTTTAGAGTTCCCTAGTCACTAAGAAAGGACAGGAGACTATGAAAGATGCAAACAAAAGCTCAAAAAGTGATCGTTCTTGCTAGACCAGTGTGCCTTCACTCCTGCTGAGATTCTCTTTTGTTAGCTGCTAGAACTTGGCTGGGGGAAAACCTCCTGCTGATTAGTTTTAGCTTCTGAGTTTTTGTGGGCTTATGCTTAATGTTGAGTACATTAGGATATGCTTTCTCTCCTGTAGATATCAGGTACTCAGTTTCTCAAGTTTCTCAAGTTTCTAACCTCCCTTGTTGGAAGTGACAGCTCAGACTCATGTCGCCATGAGCCTCTTCATTCCGCTGAGTACTTGAGGCAAATTGAAAAAGCACCCACTCTGTAGTGTATCAGGCCCTGTCAGGGCCGGGCATGCCTGGACTTGCCCAGGCACAAACACCACTAGCTTCATGCCAAAAGACAATGGGCCAGTAGGATCCTAGCCAGGCCCAATGAAAGGGCTAGGTCCCAGGCCAAGAGGCCAATAGGTCTCTTGGGCATTGTAAATAGCCTATCGGGAGTGGGGGCGTGTTTGGTGGTGGGTTTCTCTGAGGGAATATAAGCCAGCCTGCGAGCCGGTTAAGGTGTCTTTGTTCCTGACTAAATAAAGGTATGCTTAGCTGAAATCACTCTCCGTATGCATACTTTTCACACTCACTACTGTTTGCAAAGTGCCAGGATTAAGCCCCTCACTCTGGACCTTCTCCCTGAAGGCCAGAGGTTTCTCCACTGCTGGGGAATGCCTTCAGTCAGTGAGGAAGCTGGTGTGGCTGAGGAGCAAAGCTCAGCCATGTTTGTGTTGCCTCGCTGCAACCAACCTTCCTAAAAATCAACTCTTAATTAAAAGCCTGGGTGAACAGAAACCCTTTTGACCTGGAACCTATAAGAAAGCAACAGATTCCAGGTAAGCCTCAAGGGAAAAGGCATTTAACAAGTGTGGTATCACTATTGATTAAAAAAACCCCACCTATCTATAGTTGCCACCTGTCTCACTTCTGAAGTTTCAAGTGAATTGCATCAAGGGGTCCATTTTCTCTGAGCAAGGTATCCCCAGCCATTCTATTTGTCTCCATTGCTTCTTTTTTGGGGGAGAAATCCATGCTTTTTCCAGGGCAAAAAAGCCAGTAGCCGAACACACAAGAGCCAAAAGCCTCAAAATGCAGACAGAACCAACAAAACCAATAGAACCAATGCCAAATGAGAGGATCCTAGCATAGTCATGGTCCACTGTGGCAAGCCCAGCAGAACCAGAAAATCCAAGCCAAACCAATTGTTACTGGTTGCCGTCTGTGTTATTAAACCTACTCAGAATTTCCTTCAGAAACTGCTGCAACAATTTATTTTTAAAATACCAACAGGAACACCCCAAGATTTTATGAAACCATTCCTCCCAAACAACAACAAAAAAGATCTTTAAAAAACAGAGTTGCACTTACCTGTAACTGTTGTTCATCTATGTCTTCTGTGCAGACACACAATGAGACTGTGCCTGTGCAGGCCAGCCACAGACAGATTTCTTTCAACTACAAAGCCCTCTGAGGGGTGCCCCTCCCCCTCTGGAGCTGCCACAAACTGCTTTTTCTCGCCTAAACTATCATGTGCTTCGGAGGTGGGGCACCCCCTTTCCCTCAGTTCCTGTCAGGCCACTGCAAGCAAACACATAGTAAATAAGTGCAGTAAGTGAGGGCTCACAGTGGGGCAAGAGGGAGGAAATGTGTGTCTGCTCAGAAGACATCAATGAACAACAGTTACTGGTAAGTGCATCTCTGTTTCTTTTTCCATCTTCTGTGAAGCCTGACACTGGGATATTATCAAGCTACTCAGTGAGGGTGGCGGGGTGAGGCTCTCACTGGAAATGTAACTGGATGACTGCCTTGCCCATCCTTCCTCACTTGTAGGTCCAATACATAATACTTAACAAATGTATCTTCTGCTGACCATGTTGCAGATGTCCACCAATGGGACCCTGTCATGACCCTGGGTGCCGGCCGCCGACTGGCCCCCTGTCGCCATCCTGGTCTGTTGGGCATTCCCCCCTTCCAGGGCCCTTCGAGGCTTGAGAGCTAGTCACAGGGGAACAGAGAAGGGGGGGGGAAGAGCCAAAAAAAGGAGCACCGAGTTTGGTGAATGCACAGTCAAAACAGAACAGCTATGCAGGGAAGCTCCTATCCAGGTGGCGGCAAAATGGTAACTGAGGGAAAGTGGGTGCACAGCTTCCGAAGCATGTGATGGTTTAGGCGAGAAAAGCCATTTGTGTCACCTCTAGAGGGGGATGTTGCTCCTCAGAGGGCTTCTTAGCTGGAAGAAATCTGTTAGTGGCTGGCCTGCGCAGGTGCAAGTCCCAGTGTGGGGCTGCATCGAAGATGGAAGATGAACAACTACAAAACCAGAATCAGATGAATACCAAATGACAACTGTTTAAAACAGTAATACTTGAACCTCCTCCAAACGCAAACCTTTAAAAAATTGAAATGCAAAGCACCTAAAAATTCCAAAACAAGTGAAGAGAAGCAAACCTTTCAAAATCCTTTAAAAACTGTGCAAAACAAACCAAGGAAAATTATTTTAGAAGAACTAGAAAGAAAGCAAAGTCCCCCCACACCTCCCAGTTGGAAAAAATATATAGAAAACTTGAAATAATATTTTAAATAATATATCAGCTCAAATTCCATTGTAATAATTGCCACAATCATCCTGTAAAGCAGTGTCTATGCCAAAACCTTACTGAACATTCCTGAAATTAACACATATAAAAGGAAGTTTACAAAAATTGTTATTCCTGTATTATTTATTTAAAACATTTTTATCCTGCATTTTCTCCTTCGACTCAAGGCAGCCAACAATGTACAAACTGGTCTGAAGGACACCAAATAACATAACAATCCATTATCAAATTTAAAAATGCATAAATTAAAAAAACACAGCCAACTCTGTCAAAACAATTTACACTCTACCAAATAGACTCTGAAATAAAGCTGTTTGACATACCTTATTAAATGCAGCAAGTGAAGGTGCCCTCTGCCTCCAGACTGGTAGGCTGTTCCAGAGAACTAGTAGAAAAGAGCAAGAGTCCAGTAGCACCTTAAAGACTAACAAAACATGTGGCACAGTATGAGCTTTCGTGAGTCACTGCTCACTTCTTCAGATACAGAAGTGAGCAGCGAGCCATGAAAGGTCATACCCCACCACATATATTGTTAGTCTTTAAGGTGCTACTGGACTCTTGCTCTTTTCTACTGCTGCAAAGAATCTGACATGGCTACCCATCTTGATCTATCTCCAGAGAACTAGGTCTGCCTTTGGAAGAACCTCTGATCTAAACTGTTGCCTTATGGACAACACTAACACAGAGGGTGCCATAAGGAGAAAGCTGTCTGAAGAACATATATTTGAGTCCAGTAGCACCTTAGAGACCAACAAGATTTTCAGGGTATGAGCTTCTGAGAGTTAAAGCTCCCTTTGCAAGCTAGACACAAAACTTAGCTGGAATGTGGAAGTATACCAGGCGATGCAATATAAGATCGCAGATTTCCACTTGTTGCCTACTTTTGTTAGTTGTTCCTTTTTAGCCCACATTGTGGCATAAGGCTGCCAGCTCCAGGTTGAGAAATACCTGGAAATTTTAGGGGTGGAGCCTGAGGAGAGCAGGGTTTGGGGAGAAGTTTCAGCAGAGCATAATGCCGTAGAATCCACCTTCCAAAGTGGCCATTTACTCCAGGTGAGTTGACCTCTGTCGCCTAGAGATCAGTCGTAATAGTGGGAGATCTCCAGCCACCACCTGAAGGCTGGCAGCCCTTATTGCGGTTAATGACACCCCATCAGTTTCTTCTAGCATTAAATACCTGAATTTAAAAATAAATCTAGTGGGAGGCCATTAATTCTCGACAGCAAAAAGAAGTCCCTGAAATCTCAGAAATACTTCTACAAATTCATCAGAAATATATCTACAAATCTTACATTCTTTTACTGGTATGTGCAAGTTCTACTAGTGTTTATATTTCTAATGGCCATTTTACATGGACAGTGATCAGGAAACACAAATAAAAGTAAGCTTACCAACAAAGAGCTGACTGTTGAGCTGCAAACGGATATGTCCATCAGATGAAGCTGCACGAGTCCTTTGAGGTAGCTGATCTATTTGCAATGATGCCTCTTTGACATTTCTTTCAGCCTTCACATAGTGCCATCGGTTGTCATTTAAGGGACTGGGTGACTTCACAGTGATATCGTTTGGCCCATTTCCCACATCAAATGAAAATGTCACTTCAGTTGGAGCTAGAAATATCCAGCACTTTGTAGTAAGTATATGCAAATATGAACACTTAATTGACAGCTTTAATTAGTTTTTAGTATTAGTAAAAGACAATACATTGATTTAATTGGCTGCCAAAAACAGAGTAAACACAGTTAAAATATCGTTACTTGAATTAAGCAAGTAAGAAAAACGTAATTTGTGTCACACAGCTTCTATAACAAGTCCAGTTCATTCAGCATAATATTAATCATGTAAAACTCTTGAAAATGAAAATGAATGTTGCCTTCAACAGATATGCAGAATACTTAATATTTCTTTCTAAATATTGTTCATAATTTTAAAAAGGCCTTCCATAAAAGTTATGTTCTAAGATGGTTTACATCTAAAAATATATGAAAGTTTTAGCTTCCTTTGAACCACTATTATTCACAACACATTTCAATCACAACTCATTGTGGTCAACTAAAAATATGTAAGGCTACTTTGAACAGTTTTGGTTTTTATTCTTTTGCCCAAATCCAATATATGCATGTGCTCAACTGCCTTCACCAATTCTCTCTCAAATGTGAACCACATTGTGGTTTGCTACATTTTGTGGGCCACCTTTCTCATAGAAGAATATTTGAAAAGTTTCTGAATTTGAAATACCTTCTGCATTCCAATACAGCTGTATACATGTGTACATGGGATGAATGAAAAGACGTTTTGCTAGATTCTGTCCATCTATAGTTAGACTTACACATGCCTTATGGTAGCAGCATACCTCTGTTGTGGAGATATGCCTTTCCCCTTATATATTGGCAAAGAAGGGTTAGAGACTTGCATTTTTTAACAAAATGAAAGCTGGGAATTCAGAGAACCTGTTACATATGTTGTTGCAATGGTATATTCATAAAACAATATTCTAGTGTTGATTCCCTCCCCCCCAAAATAATTAAAAGTCTCTCCAGTGGCCCAGGAAAGGAAATAGACCTAACAGGAACAGAATTATGTAAATTGGCTACAGTAACCATCCAGGCTTTACTGCAATCTTCCCCCAAACTTCTGAGCAAAGTGGGCTTGAGAAATATTAGACAAAAACCAGGGAGGTGGATGATGCTAAGGAGAAGCTGGAAAAATACCCACTTTACAACAGCATTAAATGCAGGGAAGGTAACATGTGTGGAAGTCACCAGGGTAGATGTCTTAGAGTGCTCCACTAGGGGTTGAGAGAACAATTCTCTACTTCAATTTATACCTCTGTGGTGTTGCAACCTCTTCCCCCTCTCCCAGAGCTGGCATAGCAGCACTAATGGCAGGACACAGGTCCAAAACATATATGTAGAAATTAAAATTAAAGGTACAAGAGATCAAGTGTGCTGAAAAGTCAAATCTTTTGGGCTTTTATTCCTCATCTAAGATGTGTGGGGCATAGTCCTGGTTATTTAATGGAAGTTATTTTGTGTTCACGCATTTACTATTATATAACGTGTTTGAGCACTGAGCAAGACTGAAGTGCTATCAGTCAAACACATATGGTTGGAACATTACCTACAATAACATATGTTTATGTGACTAAATTAATTTTATTTGCTGGATGAAGAAATCCAATAAGGGATTTAAGTAGTATGCTTTGTACACTGGTGTTCTAAAGCAGAGATCAGATTCATAAGATATAAATTTAAGTAATAATAAAAATAAAATGGGGAAAATACAATATTCACTACTTATATAGCTCCAAAGGGAGGGGAGGGGCCATGACCAACTTCCAGGTCAGTAGCCAGTACCCAGTGCTCGCAAACTGCCCACTCAAAATTTGAATATTTTTACCCTTTCCAACGCAATATATATATATCTATATATATCTATTGAAAGATGGTGCCTAAAGGTGGTAAGAAAGGGAAACAGAAAGGAGAGAGTGTTTTGCATTTAACAGAGTTTTTCCTGGCTACAGATGCACCACCCACCTCGGCTGCAATGCTGGGGACGGGCGAGCTAATGGCACAAGAGAACCCACTTACTACCCACTAATCTAGTCCAACCCCCTGCACAAGCCAGAAAATTCACAAATACATTCCCCCTCCACACCCACAGTGACTGCTGTTCTACACCCAGAAGATGACAAAAAACCTCCAGGATCACCAGCTAAACTGGCCTAGAGAAAAATTGCTTCCTGACCCCAAAGTGGCAATCAGCATTTCCCTGGGCGTGTAAGAAAGGGCCACAAGAACTAAGTACTGAGGCAACCCTTCCTGCCCTCCCTCTCATGATCTGCCTAAGTTCACAGAATCTGCATTGCTGTCAGATGGCCATCTAGCCTCTGCTTGAAAACCTCCAAAGAAGGAGAGCCCACTACCTCCTCAGGAAGCATGAGCGTAATTATTTGCAGAATAATTTAATTCAAAGATTAATTTGATAATATATTGTAAATCTATTATAATGAGCTAAGATAGTTTGAGAATCTTATAAACATTATCATGTAATAATTTGGGGAGAAGAAAGATGTGAAGATGAAGTGTGCAAGTGAAGTTTTGTTTTTCATAATATTAATGACTAGGGATAAGGCCTGTTGTGATAATAAATACAATGGTTTCTAGTCAGGCTGTCCAGCCGCAGCTCCCCTTGTCTCTTCCCCCCCCCCCGTCTGAGACCCCGGTAGGCCAGGGTGCCAGGCCTCGTCACTCCCCCCCATTTGTGGCCCCGGCGGGCCAGGTCAGTAGTGCTCATCCGTTCCCCCCGTTTGAGGCTGCAGGGGGCCAGGGCGCTAGGCCTCATTCTCCCCCCTGCTTCAGGCCCCTGAGGGTGACGCTGTCCGGCCTCGTCCCTCTCCCCCCCTTCGAGGCCTCGGCAGCCCAGGATGCCCGGCCTCATCCCTTCTCTCGCTGCAGCTCTCCCTGCCCCCAGCAGCAGACTCACTGGTGTTTCTCCTCCCCTCCCACCCATTTGAGGCTCTTTTGGGCCAGGGCACCCAGTCTCATCCCTTCTGTCACTGGGGTTCTCCCTGCCCATGGCATTGGCTTTGCCAGACTCATGGGGTTCATCGTTTCTCCCCCACCCCGTTCGATGCCCCAGCGAGCCAGGCTGCCCAGCTTCGCCCCCTCCCTTGCCGTGGCTCTCCCCACCCCAAGTGACAGCTGCAGAGTCACCAGCCTCATCCCTTCCCCCTCACCTTCAAGAGCTCGGTGGGCCAGACCACCTGGCCTCATCACTTCCTTCGTGGTGGCTCTCCCCACCTCCAGTGACAGAAGGGATGAGACTGGGTGCCCTGTCCTCTCAGCTGGGGGGGGCAGTGAAGACAGGCTGGCGACAGTGAATGTGTCACCGGGCAAGAAGTCCCACGGCACCCAGCCCTCCCAGAGGCCTCCCACCAGCCTCAGATGGGCTGGCAATGGGCGGCACTCCATCGAGGGAGAGGCCCCATGGCACCCATCCCTCCCACTGTCCTCAGAAGGGAATGGGGAGTGAAGACGGGCAGGCACCGCCGAAGCAGAGACACCACACCTCCCTCCCCTCCCATCAGAGTTATTGTGCTGGTGACCAGGCTGAGTGGAGGTGGCAACAGAGGAGCCCATAGCAAGGCAGGCCACGGCACTTTTGGCTCGTCTCCCTCTTCGACCTCCCTCCAGATGGGGCCCAGCTCTCCACAGTCCTTACATGATTGGGCGGCCGTTGAAGGGAGGTGTGAGTAGGCTGCGGCTGGAGTCTGGGGAGGAAGGCGGTGGTGCAGGCCAGGTGGGCTTGGGCCGGAGGGAGCCAGCAGGCCACGGCAAGGCCAGCTGGGCCCATCCTCCTGGCTCCCCACTGCCATTGGGTGAATTGGAAGGTAAAACGTGCGTGCTGCCTGCGGCTGGTGGAGGGTCCATCTCATCCAGCATCTCTGTGCAGACTGAGGGCGGGATGGTGGTGAGGGCCTCTGTGGGCAGTACCCCACAATGTATCCAGCCAATGCAGCCAGCGCGCTCTGAGTGACAGTTCTAGCTGCCAACTGATTTTGCTGCACATCAAATCTTGCCACCCCAAGTCTCTTTTATAATATAAGGAAGGATTTTGGTGGTGTTGTTAAATTATAAAATTCTTTCTTCAATAAAACAAAATGCATAAAAGTCCAAAGCTAGCTCCAGTGTAGTTGTTTGACAGAGTCTGAACTTCAAAAGCACTTCTAAAACCTGTTATTAGGATAGCTAAAAATGTCAATTAGTGAAACACTTTTAGATTTTAGGGTCTTCAGCACAGCCTCCCCAATCCACATGACTACTAGTCAAGTGTCCCGTCACTGAGCAAATCAACTTTCAGAAAGTCAGATTTGATTTCTGGGAAGAAGAGAATACGAGAAAGATCTGTGGTATTTGCCTCAATGGACTGCTGAATCTGCCACAGGAATGTGGCATCATTTTTGTGCCTTTTTAACTTTTAAAGTCACCACAGGGGTCCAATTCTGCTGGGTATCAGTGTGAGGGAACAAGGGGCTCCTGTCCTCCCTGTGCCATCTTCAAGAACCAAAACAGGTAACCATTTGGACTGCTGAAAATGATGCGGAAGGACAGCAACTTATCATCCTCTTGCACCACAGGCCCTGGAAGGATCAGGCCCCTGCAGCAATTTTAATAGTAAAAAATGCTAAAATGATATCGTGTCCCTTTGGTGGACTTGGGGATGTAGTATCATCTAGTTTGCCTCATTATATTGTCTGTAAATGCTTGCATTGTCAGTGTCATGTCCTGAAACTGTGAAATTGCCTGTGTCTTTCTCTGAACTTGCAATATGCATTTTTATGACATATTGGGGTGATAAAAATGCTCAATGTAATTGCAGACACAGGTTAAAAAAAACCCCTATAAGGGGATCTGAAAGGAACATACAAGGAAAGGAACACTATTAAACTTCTTACAAATACAAAAGGCTTTGTGAGGAAGCTTTCTGCTGTAGTGAACGGGTACCAACAAAAAAGTAAAGTGCAGTACAAAGAACTGTAGCCTAACATCTCTCTTTTAAACATTTTCACTTGGAACCCAGTCCTCCTATTTATGAACAGTGTTTACTCTTTATTCACATTCCAATATGTATGTAAACATTTGTTGTTGTTGTTCAGTTGCACAGTCGAGTCCGACTCTTTGTGACCCTATGGACCAGATCACACCAGGCCTTCCTGTCCTCCGCTGTCCTCTGAAGTTGGCTCAATTTCATGTTTGTACACAAAGGTAAAATATTCTAAATCCTAGAGTTCAGGACTTATCCTATGAGGTTCTGTAGGATTTGATCTTTTGCCAGGGTTAACTTAAATATTAGGCATCTAAATTATATTGTCCAAACAGTTCCTGACATTGTTATGATGATACTGTGACAAAGTAGCTTCACCACACAGTTTTATAAATGTTTTGAACATTTTAAATTCACATTAAATTAAATTATGTAGAGTGAAGATTAAGTTCTGTTACATGAAATTATTATCCAAGATTCTATGAGTTAGAAAGGAACTGGTCTAAAAGGAGTTAAATGGGTAGCCCTGCAAGACTCTTTTTAAAGGAAGACTCTTTTTAAAATCTTGGGGAAGGAAGGACAGTGAAAGAATGACAGCTGAAGAAGGTTAGCTGGGGGAAATGACAGAGTGTTCAGTGTAATAATAATAATAATAATAATCTTTCAATTTATTGATCGCTCAATCCTGCAGAGCTTGCTGGCTCTGAGCGATTTACAGTTACACATTTTTCACGAGGGACTAACAATGCAATGTGGGGTAAGGGAGGACAACATATATACATCTTCAATTGCACACATTCACCGCCGATGAGGGTTTCATTCAGATGCAGTGTACCCAGTGTACTGGGTAAGGTGGAAGAGAATTTGTTTTGAAGTCTAAGGAATTATATAAAAATGTTATTGTTGTCTATAACTTTGTATCCAGTAGTATGTATGAACAGTTCAGGATATGATACCATTTAATCTGAATTACTGATAAGTATTGTGATGAAGCTTGTATGTTTCCTGCTCAGGTTACAGAAAAGATTTGAATAATTTGGATCTTTTTTTTCCATAATACATTGGGTTGGATCCAGCTCAAACTGCCAAAATACCATATCCCCCTTCTAGCTGCAGACCCTCATGTTGTGGGAGGGGGGCAGGAAAGTTCCATTCAGTAAATAAAAAATTAGTCTGGATTCAACCCATTGTTTCTTCTTACAGAAACTGATTACAAGTATTTTGCTAACTTCCCATTCCTATCAGTCATGTACCTGGGGATTGTACAGAAACTGATTGGTCCCTAAATAAATCTCCAAGAACCATATAATGGAATAAAGAAGTTTTAAGAAGCCAAATGTAAAAAAATAAAAAAATGAAATAGTTTCACTGTTAACAACAATTTAATGTCAATAAATAATGACATAATGAGTTTCCAATCATTTTAGTGTATTATCATATTGAATAGTATCCTGAAGTTGACATATTCATCATTATTTGTCAACATTTCAAATTTTCAATCACATTATGTTAAGTGACTTTGTACAATTAATAAGCAGTCAAGATCTAATTGGCAATTTACATTCAGATGTATTAGAAATGGGTGTATGATCTATCTAAAAGGCCTCAAACAATAGCATCAATATTAAAGTGTTTTAAAATCTGTCTTTTAAGCACCAGATATATTAAACCTGAGTTTAATATCAGTTTTATTCATGCCAAATTTGAAATATGGACATGTTGAGATTCACATATCAAAGTCAGTAATTTTACTATCTTTTGTATCTATGGGATATACCTATAGAATATTTTGTATCACTTTAAAGTTTAACTGATCAAAATAGTGCTACAGACAAAAAAATCAAAATCATAATGTATCCAGCTGCCTTGTACAGAACAAAAAAGAAAATTATGACAACTCACACTTTTAGCAGCTATCAGAATTCACAAACTCATCACCATTGTGGCCTTTCAAGTATGGTCCTTTCAAGCCTTTCCTTTGATGTACCTTTCTGGTTTGAAGGTGGAGGATACATAAATTATGCCTTTTATTGGTTGACACATGAAAAGTTAGCACTTCTTGGTGCTCTGTGTTTTTTTCCTCCTTTCTCTTGATAATGTAACAAGGAAATGTGACTCTCTTTGGTTTTGACACCTCCTTGCTGAGAACAAGTAGGTAACCTGCATTAATAGCAGCCCAATGGAAGTAGCCAGGATTGGCTAGATCCCCCAAATTAGCATGTTCTAATTGGATGTTGGGAAGCCATTAGGTTTTATGACTGTAAATAGGATTGCTAGCATTTTGACTTAAAAGAGCAGGTAGCACAGCAATAACCTGGGGTGAGTGGAAGAGAGAGAAACAATAACTTAACGTTTTATTCTTATCAACCAAAGATGAATATTTCTTTACAAAGAAGCTGTAGCTGTTTCCTCAGTTTGAACAAAGCCAGAGTAGCTTTCTGAAATTAATCTTGGCTTGTTTAAAGATTTAAACATGGAACTAGCCTTATGTCACTTAAGTAAACTGTACTATCAAACAAAAGTAGTACATGAATTGTATCTGTATTGTCTGATTTATTGTTAACTTTCATATGATTCTTCTCTAGATCGGCTTTGTTTGAGGAGGATGGGGTTTTTTCTCATTGTTAAACAATTAGTTTAGTGCTATGGGAGGGTGGTTCAACTCTAGAGTTCAGATTGGTTAAGGAGTTAAATTGGTGGCAGCAGCTGAAGCACTCTGCAAGTAAACCAGTGCTGGGAAATAGCTGTACATTTGAACAGCCTGTTGTCTTATACTGATGTTATGGCTGTAGTAGAAAGGTGGGTTAACTGCTTTAATAAAACACAATTGTAACATAATACAGCAGAGTTCCAGAACAGTGTTATACAAGACATGTAATACAAAGCAAAGTGGCAAACATTACCTGTTTGTAAAGCACAAGTTGTTGCCTGAAACATTACAGTGAAAACATTAGAAAGAATGAACAATTAGAGACTAATCCTAAAATGACTTTCATGGGAGTGAGCCCAATTGAACAGAGCTGAGTAAGGGTCCAAGTAGGTTGGCTTAGGATAGCATTGGAAGTATTTTACTACAGAGGACTGAATCATTAAGGTTGCATTTCATTAAGGATTAAGCCTTCTACTGGGACAAGATCCTTTCCTCCAGCTTAAACCTGATTCAAGGGCTCCTTGCCCAGAGATTGAATACAACTTGGATGTGACAAATACATTGCTTGGATTCCCCCTTCCCCATTTCTAAAATAATCAAGTAGCTTACTTATGCAGATATCTTTTCCAGTTCCTGTCACTACTATTTATTTGCTGTGTCAGCCTTGAATTTTGAACACTGACATCCCATAAGGCTATCTTTATAACTTCAAAGTTGGCATGTGGAAGTACTAGAAAACTCAATGTACTGTTGTTCAAGGTTTCGTGACTCTCTGAGGGAACTGCATCAAGGTACTTTAATGTAAGCACCAGATGCCAGGTATGCAGACATCAGAGTCTAGGCAGATATTTGTTAGGTCCCTTGCATTCATCACAACTGGATAATTCTTAGACCTGCAGCCAGATAGGAATGGGTTACCTGGACTACATAAAAAAATAATGTTTCTAACTACTTGGCTGTGTTCTGCTGCTTTAATTTCCAGAACCACCCCACTAATTTTGTGCCATTTTAGGAATCCTTCCACTGTAAAGTTATGCAGAACGAATAATCAAAACACTTAAAACAAACGGACATAAAGATCTTAATTAAACAGGACTTACAGAGCAGTTCTATCCTTATGAAGTCTTTAATTCCCAGATTTTCTAAAAACACACCAGAGGAAGCTGTTGTCTTAAAGAAAAGTGACACATCTGCACTAAGTTCTCCATGAAAAGTGGGGAAATGAAGATAAGAGGCCTCAGTGTTGAAGGAGGCTGCATTCCAAAACTCTCCTAATTATAGACAAGAAAAAAAAGTTTCCACATTTGTTATAAAGTGAAAAAGTAAACTTTTATAGTTACTAACAAGATTATAGCTTCTGTGTCCCTCTGCTCTTACAACAATATATAGCCCTTCTGATCTGCATTAGTACTGCAATACATATATGAAGATAATCTGTCCATGTGTCCCGTCATTTCTGTTAATTTTGATGGAGAAGACAGATTCAGTGTGCATTCCTGCCAAGCTACCATATTTCATGCCATTGTACCGATACAGCTGTGAATACCACACCCTTCTCCCATTCTAAACACTTGGATCAGACCATCTGCTTCAGTGATGACTGCCTGCTTAGCTATGCTATATAAAAGATAGCCTATTTCCTATTTAGTAGGCATCTAATATTAGTGAACATTGATTGTCCTCATACATTTTTAATAGAATTCAGCCCCAAGGAGGATATGTTTGACACTGTGCACATTTAAATATACCTTGTTATTTCTGCTAAATCCTTACAGTTGTATCTGTCACTTTCATAAGCTCTACTGCTTTCTAAATCAAATTAGCCACTTAGTACCTTCCAGTGAATGCCAAATGCATTTTCTCCAGCTAATTCCATGATTTTCTAAAAAATGCAGCTTTCAGCATGAAACAGTACTTAAATTAGTAGTTAAAGACTGTCAACATCAGGTATAAAATATGAGATAGAACTTGGGCAATATTTAATAAAAAGGCAGAAGAAGCAATCATAACAGAAGAAAACAGAAAATAGTGCCAAACATGCTTCCATGTCCCCATATGAATTTAGGCCTCAATTTTTCTCAAACTTGGTTTTCGAAAGCCCTTCTGCACCTTCATACTGCCAGAGTAGTTCCATATATTATGATTGCTATTGGATATTCCTTCACTACACTATTGTTTCTCAAAGAGTAGATGTCATACCTTCATACCTGTTTCTTTAAACACTTGTGCAGCTAACAAATACTGCTCTAAGAACTGTGTATACATGTATAGTAGGGCAAAGCTGAAATTACAGTTTACAAACAGATTGCAGGTAGTTATTTACTAACATTCTTCATGCAAAGTATTAACAATGAAACAACCAACAAGATCTTGCCCATTTTTAGTTATCAATATATTGAATGCTACCAGCCCTTCTCTTATAAATAGAATGCAAAAAGGATTCTTTTGTCTCAAGCAGTGTCTCTGTCTGAACACAAAAGCCAAAAATTCTAACTTCTTACCTGCAGGGGAAAGCTGTCTTAGATTGTGCACCTGACAGCTATACAACACTCACATCGACTTTACCAGCAATTCTGATTAATATAAATTATAGGTAAAAAATCTCTGTGGTTTACAGACTGGAATATGTCTCTTACAGAAATATGTTCCTATCCAGGTGCATATGTTCTCATACTACTATGTGAGACATATTCTCTTATCTCTATAGCAATGGATAACATTTGGTTTACCCACTATCCCTACATAATGAACTGAGTGTATGAAAACCTCTCAATTTTAAACCAATTACACATTTTAAAGATGTCTTGGGCTGGAGACAGGCAATATTTTTTAAGATAGTAGAAAGAGATAGTTGAACTGCTGTCTATGGTGAGCATGTTCATTTCTTATGTCTCACTATGCTGTCTGGTCATACCAACTTTAAAGGTTTTTAACAAGTCAAATGCAGTATTTTACTTCTGATAGCTGCTGTTGTACTTTTGATTATGGAATTTTATAGCACTGCAACTGGGCCACACTGGTGATAGCTCTGTAGATGCTAGGGTCACAAGACCATCAGATAAAGCTAGTCACAAGACCATTGGATAAATCTGTCCACCCACAAAAGGATATATGACAACTAGAGGTGAGTTAAAATAGTATAGGATTATTCTGAGATTACAATGTAGATTATTCCAACAAAATTGGATCTCTTTATACTCTTTCATAGATAGATTAGATGGATTCAATGGTTCCTTTACATTAAGTGAGAAATAGGAATCTTACTCTAATGGGATGAATTGTTATCCAATTATTCACTTAGCAAAGGGAAATCACTAAATCCAACTAGAGTCTTCATTCTAAGGACCTATGTTTAAAATAAGAAGTGCTCCCAAACTTCCATAGAAGTCCAGCATTTTAATCTGTCTGTATGAAAAATGTTATTTAAGGTAGTTAGACTTTACTTTCCTATTTAAAAGAATGGAAGCAAAGAAGTCCAATTTACTATAAATAGCATTACATCCGTGTCTAAACCAATAAGAAATAATTTGCCATTTATATGCAACAAAACCATTTGCTTTCATGATTTCAAAGGCTCAGTAGAAAAATAACATTAATTAACTCATATTTTTTCTTGACAATTGGATATAAAATGCAAAGAGAAAAGGATACAAAGGAAACATGAGTCAGAAAAATTAGTGTTTCTGAATGCTGTCCAATCCTTTACAAAGAAGTCTTTCATTAAAACCTCATATCTGTACAAAGGAATTATGGTACTCCAGTGTTTGAATCACAACACAAATTTGTTTGTTTCTCATTTGCAAAAGTGCTATTATAAATACCATTATGTAATTAATCATAAACTTTCTACATGTAGAACTCCAGAGGGGATAAAAATGATGGTGGCAGTGAATAATTGGAACAGCACAGCTTGTTTTGGAAAACAAGTTGCAGTCTTTAGATTGCAGATCAACTGGCAAATTATTTCTGGCAAATCATTTTGCCAAAAGAGTGAAAACAAAGCAAAATCACATGTAACATTATGCTGTCAAGGAGCATGAAAGGATCATAATTTCTAAGTTCTGTTTTCCAAGATCATACAGCTGTCATCTACGATACTAAGAAAGTTCTATTCCACACCTTGTCCATTTTCCTCTATGTAAACGGAACATTATTTATTTCTGATGAGGATGATGTAAACTATTTGATCTTCCTTCCTATACCAGGACACATAGAATCCTAAAAACCAAGGGAAGGTTTTGTTTTTGAGTTCAAATTTGATTTGGCTATAATCCCAGGATATATATTATAGCAAATATTTAATGTTTCAATACTGTAAAATTATCAGAGTTTACTTAAGTTTGCCTGAAGAATTTCAATTGTGCTTTTGGCTTCTTCCAAAGCTGACATTACAGCCCTAGTTCTGACCTTCTGTTCTGGAATTTCCTCCCACTAACCAGTTTAGGATGGCAAGTTGTAACACTCACGTGAAATTAGGCAACAACAACAAAAGCAAGGGGAAAGGGGCAGAATAAGCTTGCCAGAGGACCCCACTTCCAAATAAGAAGTATTGTAGATGGAGGGAAAACAGCATGGTATAGCCTAAAATTATCAGATCTTAGATGCTAAGCAGGGTTGGTAATTGTATTTGGGAAGAGAGACCACCAAGGAAGACTCTGCAGAGGAAGGCAATGGTAAGCCACTTGTCCTTTCCACTTGCCTTGAAAGTCCCTTGCTGGGATCACCATAAATCAGTTGCAACTTAATAGCACTTTACAGATGCATACATACACACACATACAAATAAGATGTAAAACGTGTGAAAAGACTGGCTATTTAAATATTCTGTACTTTGGCAATACTGCTTCCTTAGTAGTAATCAAGAACAGGACAACAGTTATAATGCAGAGATATGTTTTGCACATTCCCTATTAAGGGAGAAAAAGGCATATAAAAGGCACTTATAAGAATACAGACAACATACACAGGCAACCAGAATTCAGTGAAAGCAAAAAAGAATTCCAAGTAGTAGTAATTAGAAGCTTCAGGACTATGTTTGAAACAGTATATTCAACTTTTTTAAAAATTGTAGGTGCTATGTAAGTTTTATCTTCATTTTTTAAATTTTTAAGCCAAATACAAGCCCAGCCCTCACGAGGAGGCAAACGCGGCCCCCACGAGGCATGCCTGGGTTGTCTCGTGCGGGGCCGGATTAGTCATGCTGAACACATGACCATGGAAACGTCTTCGGACAGTGCTGACTCTTCGGCTTTGAAACGGAGATGAGCACCGCAACCCTAGAGTCGGACTCAACTGGCTTTCAAGCAAGGGAACCTTTACCTTTACCTTTAACCACTCTTTATTTGTTCAAGGTATCCTATTTGCAAATTAATTATGGACTTTTATGGCCATTGCTCCAGTGTTCTGCAGTAAGTTACTGAAGGAGGTAAGGAGAACATTCTCTTTCCTGACTTTTACCAAGAGCCATAAAACAGCATTGTTTCCAAGAGCTTTAAAAGAAAACCCAAACAAAACCTACATCGTAATTGTGGAATAGGGGGCAGTTTGCTTTTGGTAGGACTATGGTGTATCATATGTAGGTATTTTCTTGATTTTTAAATACATTGTTTCATAAGTTTTCATGACTGATATGATTTTGGCCCATTTTGTATGGCATTGTCATGTCTTGTTTTGTTTTTTTCAGGAGGAAAGATGGGATATAAATATTTTACTTAATAAATACAGCAAATATGTTTTCTTTTGCTATTCAATCCACAGATGAGACAAATGCAAAAAAGCACTTTTAGTGTAATTAATTATTTTTTTTTAAAAAAAAATCCTTTGGCCTGACAAACGCTGGCTCAAATTAAGCCCTGAAGGTCCCATACTAACCACACTCCCATGGGCAGCATAGGACAGATGACACAATTGATAAAACTGAATTGCTTACTGTCACCCCGGCAAAGCAAAGGTCCAAGTTTGTACTCTGCTTCAGAATTTGGTCGATGTGTATCTGTGATGACCAGTTTTGTTACTGGAAGGTGGTCTTTATATGAAAGTAGTCCTGTGTCATTAGACCTAGAAGATGCAAACAAAGATGTTTTCAAATACTGCTTCATATGCTACATTTTTCTTCATCAGAAAAAGGAAAAGCTGCATTCTGAAGAGCAGATATTTATGTAAGTGGCATCACATTTACAGTACTGAAACCCTGTTTCTTACCAGCGTAAAAATTTATTATGTGCTAAAATAAAAATGCAGCAGCTAGGTTTCAAATTGCACTCAGTTTAGCTAAGTATGAAATTTTCAGCACTATTAGAAAACTAAATGGCCTCTTAAAATGGGTTAGAGTATTTGTCTATAAGAAATTATGACTTACTGAGAAACTTGTCCATGCCTAAGAAGAAGGTTTGATCTTTAATTGAGGGCATCATGTCCTCAGTTCCATGCCCAAAGCTCCCAGTGTTGTTGTTTTTATACTTCATTTACCAGGTATGTGGAGATCTGCTTTATATTAGAACCACAACATGAAGAGTGGAGGGGTTCCACAGCTAACACATCCCATGGAAAAATTATTGTTTAGGATATTTATATCCCTCCCAGGATAAGGAGCACTAGGTGTGCCTTTTTTAAATGACATCTATTAGTGTTATTGTTTGTTGTTATTTTATTGTATTTTAGATACATACATACATACATATTATTTTACCTGTATGGAATGTTTTATGAATGCTGTCACCCACTCTGAGCACTGCTATACAGGGGAGGGCAGGCTATAAATCAAATTAATAAATATTGGGATATTGGGACTTGCATGTTTGCCCTATTTATTTACTATTTATTTATTTATTTATTTCAATTTATATAAATCAAATTAATAAATATTGGGATATTGGGACTTGCATGTTTGCCCTATTTATTTATTTATTATTTATTAATTTCAATTTATATCCCACCTTGCTGGTGCAGATGCTATTTGAAAAAATAGCATCTGTCCAGTGTTGTCTTAGATTTGGGGGGGGGGAGAGCAAGGTGTGATGCTTGACAGTCTGAGAAAGCAATGTTAGCCGGGAATCACAGTGTGATCAAATGCCCCTTCAGGTGCATGATAAGCTCTGACTGATATGACTGATCATTCAATCCATTAAGAGATAGTAGTCTTCCTTTTACAACACCATATGTATACATATTTGACAGACCCCTTCCACTTCCCTCCCTCAAGGGCTAGATTTTCCCTTCATTTCTCTGGCCCTTCACTGACTGAGCAGCCCAGGTAACATATTCCTTTCTCCCCTGAAGAAACCTTGGCTGCCCCACCCTGTCAGTAAGATATATTTTGGCTATTTGCTCAGCCCAGGAACCAGAGGGAAGGAATAGGATCACCCTTTAATTGAAACCCTTGAAAATGTCACTTGAGACACTTTAAATGTATTTGTTTATTTTAAAAAAGGGGGGTTATTTAACTTCAAAGGGAAAGGTCAGGTGAAATCAGGGGTAGAAATTACTGAGGTAAAACTAGTACAAGCACAGACGTTTGTTCTTATGTATCAAGGTAATGAGAGGTTCTTAAATTATTCAGTTACTCAGATCTTTATATTGAGAGGTTTTTGTTCCAGTGTTTTCCCAAACACTCTAATTCACTTTATTTGAGTAATCACTGGCTCTTTTAGTGCCCAGATGGCTAGTACCCTCTTCCCAGTACCCTAACACCTTCTCTTGGAACACCAGTACTCTTCTTGAGTTGTTCACTGACTTTTAAGGTCTCCACAGGCAATTTCTAATCACACCAGACCAAGGAATTCTACACTCCTCACTCCTCAGAGATAACTCTCTCTGTTTGGAACAGAGAATCTTCTCTCTCTAGAAGCTATATCCCCTTTCCTTTGGCCTGAATGGGAGTCTTCTCTACTACTCAAACTTCCTCACCAAACTCTCCCCCAGTTGTCTGACTGTTCAAACTGCTCTCAGCTAATGCTGAATTCAGACTGCAATCAGTCAAGGTAGAAATCTGACTCTGTCAGCACTAAACCTTTTTTCTGTCAGGGCTATACTCAGACAGTCTCAGTACATGTCTCTTCTCAGTTAAGGCAAGAATCTGATTGAATCTCCTCAGCATGATCCAGCTCTCTCAAGACTTTTTTTTTGCTCAGCTGATGCTAACCAATCAGATTGCTTAGAGCAGCCCTGTCACTCAAGGTTCTCTGGTTCTGTGAAGAATTAACTCTTTACAGTCCTTTAGTTGTTGGTACAGCAATTCTAAGCCTCTTAAAAAGCACAGTCTGTCACAGTAACTTCAGGATAATTTTGTTTAGCTTTAGCCTTAGTAATCAGATTGATATTGGATGAAACAGCACACACTAGAATTTGAGAGAGGTCTCTAGCTTGAGAAATGGATGGTGTGCAGTGCATTACTTCTCTCAAATGGAGAGGCAAGTGTTAAGATCAGCCAGTGCCTATATTCTAGCAGGATATGGTGTTCAAAAGGAGACTGAGACTGGGAAGGGCAGCCATGAGGGAGCTAGAAAAGATCTTTAAGTGTAAGGATGTGTCATTGTCAACCAAAATCAAGATAATACATGCCACAGTATTCCCCATTACTATGTATGTGTGAAAGTTGGACAATGAAGAAAGCTAAAAGGAAGAAAGTTGATTCATTTGAAATGTGCTGTTGGAGAAGAGTTTTAGACTGCCAAAAAAATAAGTGGGTTCTAGATCAAATCAAGCCTGGGTTCTCTCCAGAAGTTAAAATGATCAAACTGAGTCTATTGTACTTTGGTCACAATATGAGAAGAACCATAGAAGAACCACGTTATGCAGGAACCATAGTCTGGGTTTAAGAAATGATGTGCTTCCTGAAAAAGACCATTAATATCTCCTATAGGTGCTCCAATGTTTTTTTTCCTGGACAACCCACCACAGTGACTGGGGAACAGCCACACTCTTCTGCCAGAAGAACAGTCTCCATAAAGTGGTTAATAAAGGTTCAAAGAGGCGGAGGTCCCTCAAGTAAGTCAAAAGAGATTACTGCTCTTAGAGAACAACATTCTGGTCAGAGGAATAGGGGGCAGATAGGAAAACCTCTGGTCTATAAACATAGGGTTTAAACACAATAAAATCTCAAGTCTGTGTGACCATTCAGTAACAAGTTCAAAAGTAGTAAAACATTTCTAACACTATCAAAGCAAAGTAAACCAGGGAAAATAACTCTCTGAGGCCCCGGTCACATGAGAGGTTTTGGGCCGGGAGAGGGACGGATCGGGGCTGCAGCAAACGGGCGTGATCCCACTGCAACATCTGGGAAGCGTTGTGTGCCTGTTCCCAATCCAGCCCTTCCACCCAAAACCCCGCAGCAAAAATGAACCACCTACCATGGTGGTTCGTCCGGGAAGGCCGCATCAAAGCCGGTTGTGCGATTGCCGGCGCGTCATTCCGCCGGCGCATCCCCGGCGCCTGGCCGAACTGTGAATGCTCACACATGCGCAGTTTGACAGGCTTCCCCTCCCGACAATAGCTTCCTCCCTGGCATCTGATTGTGCCGGGGAGCAATGGCGCCGCGGCTCAGGGGATCCATGGGATCCCGCCGCGGCGTCTCTACTTTGGTGCGGCTCTGATTTGCCGCACTTTGGCTGATGTTTTTCCTGCCGTGTGGCAGGGACCTGAATATCTCTACTGTTGTATAAAAGCAGATAAAAGCGGGGGTTCTTTTGTATCTCTCTCTCTCTCTCTCTCTCTGTGTGTGTGCAATTAAACCTCTACCAATCCTAACCGAAACTCACTTGTAAATATAATTTACATCCCCTGCCTGTTTGTTCAAATAAATTTAACTTCAATTTCAACTTTAAGTGTGCCTAGGTGCCTATTTCTGAAGGAGAATTCCTAGAAGAACGAACCCCCCTCAAGCACAGTTCCTAAGTTGGGGTAGGAGCCAACAAAGTATCCAACAGTAATAAGGTGGGACAATGGCATTATAATAAAATTTAGTTACCACATAAGAAGAGTGACACATTACCTAAAGGCTATACAGTTAACATATGGCGAAATGAAATAGACAGGGGAAGTGGAGGAAAAATCTGAGGCAATACAAGGGCAATTGTGTGATGGGAGTGCCAATTTGGTACAACAGGCATCCCCAAGATTGCCTCGGGGATGCGCAACCATTTTACAGAGTGCGCTCCCACCCAGAAATTCCTTTGAAATGTGCTACAGGGCCAATTCTGGTCAGAACTACCACAGCACAATGGTAGGAGGGGATCATGCCTTACTCCTCCTGAACCATTTTTCTGACCATAAACACCACTGGAGGTATTATTTGCCCAAGTGGGAGCTCAGTCTTTAAAATGGTAGTGTACCCCAGTGTGAACTTGGGGACACTAATCACATCTAGTTTGGCCTTGAGGATGGTAGCTAAAGCTCATGCTGCTTTCTGTCTTGAACCATCCTCTCTGGATCACCCAGCAGCAAGGCTTGTCATTGGCACTGTCAGGGGCCAAGAACAACATTGGAATGTTTCTGCTCACAGTGAAGCTCTATGTAAGACAAAGCTGTGGCCAGTTTCAACAGAGTGCTGTGTTTATGTTTTTCCATCCTTTTCTCCTCTTCTTCTCCCCACTGTAGACACAATTTGATGCCTATTTTAAAGATAATGGGACTGATGAAATAGGACATGAATGTGAATTTCTCTATGCATCATGTTCCTTATCCAACTGTCACAAACTCATCACAAGTGCAGGATGTTTTCAATGCTTTCTGCATTCCAATCTTTTGGACGAAGATTGTTTTGCTATAGAATAGAGGTATAGTCCAGAGCTATTACTATTATTGGTACTATTACAGTTCCAATGCATATTTGTGTGCCTAACCAAACCTTTTCTGACAAAACTATTCAAGATTTTCCACTGCTACAGGGAACAATTTGAAACTAAAATAGGACTTGACAACAAATGTACCCTTTAACAAACAGTATATCTAGGACTAATTTTCAAAGATGTGTCCATAAACTGTCAAATTCATACAAGCAAAATAAAGCATCTTGCTATAATTGCAACAGAACGTGAAGTTTAACACTTAAAATAGCTATTTAAGTAGGGATTAGAATATGGATTGAGAAAGTTAATTTTGAAGAATTTACTCTAAAGGTGGTTACATTATGAGGAGGTAGAGAAAATAGAAATGTTTGTGATATTCAGATAACTAGTAACAGTCAGAAATCATGATAACATATTTTAACATTTAACATGTAATGTTCAAAGGAAATAATGAAAAAGCTCACCATTCATTTCTGTCAGCATCACAGTTGCAGTCATGCTGAGAATCAATGCAGCTTCCTTGTATTCCACAAGCACATTTTTGAACATCTGGCGTGGAACCTCCCCAGTATGTCTGTGTCTCATTGATTTTTCCAATCCACCAGCTGAATGGAATCCCTTCTAGAAAGACATTAGAGAACACTGATGATCTTTGCAATTTCATGTTCCACCTGTTTCTCTTCAGTGCAAAAAAATTATTATAAACTAAAAAAAATGATCATTTTAAATTTTAAATAAAATGCTAGCTTTTTTTCCATTTTAATATTTTATTATCATGAAGCAAATGACTGTCAAGGTTTTTGCTTATAATACAGGAAAGAGAGAACCAGTACTTTCTAAGCCAGCCAGGCATGATATTAGAATCATTTATCTTAAACAGACTACTTATAAGATAGCAAATATAAAAAAGAGATGCCCTCACCCCAAACACCTCAGGTAATTTAAAATGTAAAGGAAGCTCAATAGAATATCATGGAGCGACTAGGGAGAAAATGAGAAGAGCATCTTGTACTAAAAACACATCTCTTCCATATGCTAAACATCTGGAATAATTTTGTGCTGGTAGAATGAGAAATGTTAGCAGTAAATATCATGCAAGGAAGTATATGCAATCCTCAGTGAGGGAGGAACCATGTTAATTACTGCACTCCATAAGAGGTTTGTTGTATCCAGTGACAGAAAGCAACTTCTTACAGCCAACCTTCTCCTCGGTACCATTCACAGTTAGATAGAGATCTGGATATCTCCTTAATGCTACAGGACTGTACATAAGGCAAAAGATGCTGCCAACTAAGCAGAGCAGTAAATGCACAAAATATACAGAGAAGGGTAATTACTAAAAGATCTGAAGCATGAAGATAATCCATTTTAAAGAAGAAGGAAGGAGAGGAGAAATTTGCAAAGAATGCAAAACTCAAGGCACCAGAGGAAAATAATGTAGTGTTAAACTGTATGGCAAGACATAGCTGGATTCTGCTTTTATTTGCTAGGAACAGGGGTCTTTTGGGGCTGGAGTGTGCTGGAGCACCGCTCCAGCAGCCCATGAGCCCACACAAATGGTGGCTTGGCAAGCCCCATCCCCAGCTCCCTGCACCAAAGTGCTGGGGCTGGAGGGAGGCCCGACGAGCCCCGCCGCTGTCCCCCAGGCCTGCACCAAAGCGCTGGGATTGGGGGCAGGCCTGGAGAGTCCCACAGCTGGGTGTCCCGTGCCCGCGCCAGAACGCTGGGGCTAGGGGCAGGCCCAAAAAACCCTGCAGCTGGGTGTCCCGGGCCCGCACCGGAGCGCTGGGGCTGGGAGAAGCTCGGAGATCCCTGCAGCCGGGTTTCCCGGGACTGTGCTGGGGCTGGGGGAAGCCCAGAGATCCCTCAGTCAGGTCCCCTGGGCCCACACAGGGGTGCTGGGGCTGGGGAAGCCCGGAGATCCCCGCAGCCAGGTCCCCCGGGCCTGTGCAGGAGTGCTGAGGCCAGGGGCAGGCCTCAAAAGCCCCGCAGCCAGGTTCCCCAGGCCCACACAAGAATTTATGAAGACCTAGATCTGAGTCCAGCAGCACCTTATAGACCAACAAGATTTTCAATGCATAAGCTTTTGGGAGTCAAAGCTCTATTCATCAGATGTCCATCTGCCAAAGTGAGCTTTGAATAGTGAAAGCACATCTTGTTGTCTCTAAAGTGCTACTGGCCCCAAAACTAGCTCATCTACTGCAGACCAACATGGCTGACCTCTGAAACTATCTTCATGAATTTATGAAGTTGTAATCCTCAGATGACTAGTTCTTACACAAATGAACGATCCTAGAACAGGGATGAATCAAATCTTTGAAATGTAATCCAGTTTGCATTTTTATAAACCAAGGTCGTAACTAGTCCTCTTCTGTGGAGAAAGCAAACCAAGATTGTTTTAAATCTGAAAATCTGAACTAGCTGTTCTATATGGTAATATGGACCTGTAATAAAACCTGTAATAAATGGCTGCGAGAGTTGGACTATAAGGAAGGCCGAGCGCCGAAGAATAGATTCTTTTGAACTATGGTGCTGGAGAAGACTCTTGAGAGTCCCTTGGACTGCAAGAAGATCAAATCAGTCAACCCTAAAAGAAATCAACCCTGGAAGGCCAGATAATGAAACTGAAGCTCAAATACTTTGGCCACCAAATGAGAAGGGAGAAGACCCTGATGCTGGGAAAGATTGAAGGTCAAAGAAGACAGGGATGGCATAGGATGAGATGGTTAGACAGTGTCATAGATGCAACGAACATGAAATTGAGTAAACCTCAGAGGACGGCAGAAGACAGGAAGGTCTGGCGTGATCTGGTCCATGGGGTTGCGAAGAGTCGGACTCGATCGTGCGACTGAACAACAACAACAAAAATAAAACTTTAACAAGCTGTATTTCATTTTAAGGTGTTGTGGACCAGCCAGCTGCCACCTCCTCCTTCTCAGAGGAATTGTAAGAATTGGGCCCAAACTAATAGAATACCCACCTGAGCAGCTGGATCCAGCCATAGACCCAATGGAGGAAGCACTGGGAAGCCAGAATATTTCCCAGGCATGGCCAGACTGCTCAGTCTTCCAGGAGAAGATGCCACAGAAGCCAGTGTCTCCATCTCCTTTAGCCTCTCCCAAACCAGCAGAGCATAGAAGGAGGAGAGAGTGCTTGCCAGCTACTCAGATAAAGTGCTCCACTAATTGCTCAGCAACAGTCAGTGTTAATTCCTGGAGCTGAGTCCTTGCAAGACCAGGACTGACCAGCTGATAGGGAAAGAGTAAAGACCTGTACCTGTAGGAAAGTGAATGCAACTGTAAGGAGTGACACCTGGTCTTGGGCGGTGAGTCAGCAAAGGAGGCAGATAAAAGAAACACACTGAGCAAAGATTGGTGTGGAAATAACTTTGCTTGTCATACCTCTATGAAGCTGGCCTGCTTAGCCTGCTTAGCAAACAAAGCTCTACCCTGAGGTTGCCTTGTACCTTATTGCTAGTAACCAGTGCTTGCTCCTACAGCCTGGGACCCAGACCTTGCATCCTGCATCAGTTCCCTAGCCCTGGAACTGAACCCTTGACCATCTTTACCCTGACCCTTGAACTGGACCTGTGAACTCTGACTCGAGACTTGTTTGTAGACCTTGCTTCTGTACCTATTTTTGTGCTTATTGTTACTGTATTTGTGTATCCTGGAAACCCTGGGCTTAGCCCTGAATGTGATATAATGACACACAGGTTTAAAGTAGTGTAGAGCCTAGGTGAAAAAGATGTCATCTCTCTGTTATGATTCCCTATAAGAAATAATTAATGCAATAACCTTCTGCTTTCAGTTTCACCTATAATACTCCTGCTATGAAGCTGGTTAATAGTTTTCTATGTGTTCTTGAAGAAATGCATCTTAATATTTCTAGTTCATTTGTTTAGATGAACTTGATCAGGATTTAAGCATCACCATACAGTGATATTTCTGGCTCTGATGCCTAAGGCTTTATTTTATCTGCTTTAGAACCACAGAAAAAGTTCAAAATAGTATTCATTAGGGCTTTTAGATGAATTCACCAAGTTAACAGAAAACCTGAAGTGTTGTTTATATATTGATGTGAGATCAGTAATACTATTAAAGGATTATAATGTAGCAGTGATTAGCCAGAGCTCTGCTTTGTTCCTGAATACCAATAATCAGATGAAAGGCAAATGATAGATCTGATACAACCCCTGAGAAAATAAGTGAAAATACTGACTATGCAAAAATAGTAGCCTGTGATTTCTGGAGGGTTTTTTTTTTTTTTAAATGATGCTCTTCATATAGAAACTGATGTTCTTCATATAGAAACTGAGGGAGCAATCCCAAGAAGCTTCACTTCATAAGTTCCATGTTATTATATTTATTTATTTATTTATAATTCGATTTATATCCTGCCCTCCCCTAAGGCTCAGGGCGGCTAACAATTTGGGCAAAAGTCATAATTAAAACAATTAAAAACAAGATAAAAATATAACAATAATACAACAAAGTGCTGGTGCTCTGATGTTGCCAGTTCCAAGGTGGGTTCCGGTAGGGTAGATCAGGACCAATGACGTAAGTTCCAAAGCGGCAGATAACCAGTCTTCTTCCCAGGGCCTGCTTGCACCCTGATGGTGTCTCCGCCAATTTTCGGCGGTGGTGCATTGGTGGAACAGTAGCGGTGGTGGCTCCTACTCAAAAGCCTGGCAGAAGAGCTCCGTCTTGCAGACCCTGCGGAACTGTGCAAGATCCCACAGGGTCCGGATCTCCTCCGGGAGCTCATTCCACCAGGTAGGAGCTGCCACCAAAAAGGCCCTGGCCCTAGTCTCGGTGAATTTGATGTCTCTGAGGCCTGGGGTAGTCAAAAGATATTGGCCTTCCAACCGTAGTGCCCTTGGGGGAACATATGGGGAAAGGCAGTCCCTTAGGTATGCCGGACCCTGACCATAAAGGGCTTTAAAGGTAAGAACCAGCACTTGTCACAAACCCAATTCATGTATGTCACAAACCCAATTCAAACAATCCACCGGGTGCTGACTTCCTTTTTTAATATATCTGGCCTGCAGATTAATCATTCCAAATCAGAAATCTACCCGATAAATCATGAACAAACCACTATAGTAAGAATTAAAAGAAACTTAATCTTCCAATGGATTACAACACACTGGAGACACCTAGGAGTGTACATCCTACTAAAACTCAAAGAGCTGACAACTCAAAACTTTCACAAAATATATGAAAATATTAAAATAGAGATCTCAAAATGGAACACACTCCGACTGACTTTGGTCGATAGGATTCACCTAATCAAGAGCTTCATCTTACCAAAATTCCTTTTCCTATTCCGAACTCTGCCCATCACTATTAACAACAAAGATCTGCTTATATGGCAGAATTCCCTGACAAGATTTCTGTGAGAGGGGGAAAAATCTAGGATAAGTCAAAATATGCTTTACAGACCATCAAGTTTAGGAGGTCTTGATCTACCTTCACTAAGATGTTACTACCAAGCAACAGTATTGTCTCAAGTAATTCAAATGTTACAAACAAGTCACCAGACACCTTGGATGCAAATTAAAGAGTCTTATACTACACCTTTTAACCTAAAAGAAGTTTTTTGGATGAAGCCAAACCTTAGACCAAAAAACATTAAAAATAACATCCTATTAAATTCAGCAATCAAATAATGGGATCAAAAAAAGAGGCTTCTTCCAAACGGGATTTCTCAACTCTCATCATATACGCATCAAAGCTGGTTTCCTCCTGGAATGAACGAGAATAAGTTCATGGTCTGGACAAAAGGACACATAAACCGGCCTGTCAACCTCATTCACCAAGGGAAAATATATGACAGTTTTTTTGATCAAATTTTGGGATCACAGATGCCTTGGTACCAATATCTCCAACTAAAAAATCTAACGGAAATGTTAGCAGAGAGAGGGACATTCCTGAGAGAACTGACCCCACTAGAAAAAATAATTAAAGGTTACTCAAGCTCACCAAGGGGGACATTCTCCAAATTCTATAAAATAATAGTATTGATGGAAAATCAAATGAAACTAAAACATTAATTGAGATGGGAAGAAGAACTGAATATGCATTGGCAGAAATCAGATTGGGACGTGGTTTGGTCCTTCCCAGCAAATAGCTCCACAATATATAACATACGCTTACAGAACTTAATCTCCAGATGGTATATGACACCAAAACAATTACATAAAATCAACAAAAAAAATGACCCATCATGTTGGAAGAAATGTGGGCAAGAGGACTCTTATTTACACTCTTGGTGGAGCTGCCCAAGGATTCTTAAGTTTTGGATGGAAGTGTCAATGAGTAAAAATGAGATAACCTCACAGAAGATCTCCTGCAATCTGGAAATTGTAATAATGAAAAAATGGGATGATACAGTAAGAGATGAGGCGAAAGAAATTACCGCAACATTGCTTGCAACTGTGAAATTAGCAATAGCTGCAGCATGGAAAACACCACATCCTCCGACTCTCAAAGCATGGGAAGAGTTCATAATGGCAAAAATAATGGACCAGAATAATAGTGTGCAAACGTAAATCACTAAGTCACATGCAAAATTTACGCGAAAATGGGAACCGGTAATAGATTACCTGACAACACATGAAATAATCCCATCTAACCCACAGTATCATAATTGGTTATTTGTCTGAACACATCATCAAACAATAAAGAAGACCAAAAGGCAAACTAACACACTTAGTACAATCTACCCAATATGAATCCCAGTTTCTGGCACTTTAGTGATAAACTAGATAGCTTTTTGTAAACTGTTATGATAGTTGGTAGAGTCATTTGGGTGACTATGTAGGTCGCATAATTGTAAGCTTGTAACACTTGATTTATATGTGTATTTTTTGTATTTATAAAATAAATAATTTTTTAAAAAAAGACCTCAGAAGCTAAGCAGGGCCCATGTGGAGGCAGGCAATAGCAAACCAGCTCCAAACATCTGCTACCTTGACAGCAAAAAAAAAAAAAAAAAAAAAACCATCACCCCACTCGGGACACCACTCGTGTTCTGAGCAGGCACTTGGGAGGGCTTCTGTTCTCCATTTTGAAGCCCAACAGCTGACCATCCCATATATCTACAAGGCATTTTTGGGGAGCTAGGAGTCTGCCTTTGTACTAACTTTTACTAACACTAGCCAAAGCATCAAAAAAATAGTGATTGCAAGCTTCATCAGACTGGATGTTAAGAAACACACTACTACTCCCTACCCCCTGGAAGGTACCCCCATCCTCCATTGTTTCCAAAGGACTAAAGTCAAACCAGAGAATCTCTGCAGTAGAAACTGAAGGTGGGGGCCATTTTTTGTGGGTCCAGCCGAACCAATGCACTGTACAGAGTAACCAGCAGTACAAGTACAATCACAGAGATTGCACTGGTGCTGGCAAGGCAGGATATAATAAATTGAAAGTAATAAATAAATAAATAAATAAATAGAGAGCCTAGCAGAAC